TGAAAAGGTGCCTGAAAAACATCTTATCTCAGAACTCCACCCTTCCCCAGGTAGCCACAGTCACATCTTGCTGCTTTGGAGATGAAAGAAACATGTCATGGAAGCTAAGTGATTTCTCTGTGATGATCACCTCGTAGATGACACAGTGAAATCTCTAGGTCATGCCCTAAGAGTAGAGATGCTGCTTTTGTGGGGAAAAGTAAGTTACATGGCAACATGCTAGACTCTGAAAGGACTCTAAATCATTTTCTGACCTGCAAGTGTATAGTCATAAAAAAATCTCATGGAGGAGAAAGGAATGCTTATTAGTGAGAATGAAACAAATAGAACTTTTCAAAATAGAAGAATGAAGAAGATGCATTGGAACTATGTGACAGAAATCATGCAGAGGGAATCAGAACCCAGGTGCTCCAACAGGTCCTTTATCTCCTGTCCATTGTACAGCCTGTGGACAGATCTGAACCCTGGCTGCAGTAAAACCTCATCTCAACTCTCAGTCCCTTAGCATTCCTCAGCCTTACAAAATGATAATGAGGATGTCAGAAATGGATCATTGCCAATAGTGATGGATATTTCTCCTTTAAAAATTATTGTCAAGAAAATGAACTTACTTCTGGAGAGATTCTCAAGGGCTTTCCCCAGCTTCTTGCTCTCCTGAAGGATGTGGTTCAATTCATCAAAATCACGGCTTTGTGGTTTAGTCCGCCAGCTCCACTTAGGATGTTCTACTGACCTTGGCACTATGTTTAAAAGAAATGGTTATTTCATAAGCATGCCATACAATGATACAAACTCACTTATCGTTTGTGTAAGACTGCATCAAGATCAATGTGAAGAATAAAAATGGTTAAAGTTGGAGATGGTTTTCTTGTGAGTAAACAGGCAGGGGATTTAAAATTGGCTTTGAAGAAAACGCTTTAGTTCAATAAATAAAAGAAAGCGATTATGGAAAATGGGAAATTGAGCTATTGATTTAAATCTAATTACTTCTATAACTTAAAGGGAAACAATGGAAAAGTTTATTCTGCATAATAATAAAATAAATCACTAAAAATTATTACTAACCTCATCATCAGCAACTAGTAAAAATGTTTATAGATGCCATCTTATTATAACTTCTAAAAGCATAAGACTATATATGTATACACACATACACACACATGTAATATGTGTGTGTGTGTGTGTGTGTGTGTATGTGTGTGTGTTTCTTCCAAGCTCCCATTAAAATTATTATATCGTTAGGGAATATTTTTCTTTCAAAAAATAAATTGAACATGCATAAGTGACTGGGTAAGGCTTTTCTCTGAGAAGACATATAATGGGGTGATTAGCAGTAGTGGGAATTAGCAAAGTAGAGAAAACAGAAACTCATAACCCAAAGAGTAGGATGCAAAGAAAGTCAACACATTATTTAAATATGAATTTATCAACTCAGGAACACAAGGTCAAAACAATGAAGACATAAGAACTTAATGGTTTCCCAGATATAGAATCGAATTATAGGGCCCATAAAAATTCAACTTTTGTTATTTCAAGTTTTTCAACAATATCAGTAAAGATATGATTGTAAAAGCTTTTGGGGACAAAAATGAGTAATTTGGATTAACAACAGACTTAGCAACATATCTGTTATAGAACATAGGACAGTCTTTAAAAATTCCAGAAGAAAATTATTTGTAACTGAAAATTTTATACCAATAAGAGATCCAATTGAGATACTTTGAGAGTTTCTTCATAAACATCCTTTCTAAAGAAGTTGCCCGAAGGTGTGCTCCAGCTCAATGAATAAATAAACAAAAATCTTAAAATACTTGGAAGCAGGAATGGGTGAACTCTGAAAGAAAGAAAGGGGGGATATCTCATGATGACAGTGAAGGTAGTATCAACATAGAAATGGAAAATATCTACAGGTAAAGAAGTTAAGAATGGAGAAAGACATCAATGGCCTGCAGGGGAGAGGTCTCCAAGATGCCTTCAATGACATAAAAGGAGAAAAAAATAAAACAAAGTAGCATAAAAGACAAGATAAGTTAGGTCACATCGAGAAACACTATCGGCAGCGCTTGAGGAAGCATTAGTGATGAGTATACAGAAATCAAAGTAAACAATGAAGAGCACATCATTACTTCTAGAAAATATGACTAATCTGTTTGTCTTGCTGATAAAACATTAATATAATTTTAGTGATATTGATGCAGAATACACCTTAGAGCAAATTTGAATTAGATGCATTGCTCTGCTATGAGGATGAGATAGGAATTGATGTGTGCATAGCAGCAGCAAAGTATGAAGGAGATTTGTAGATGATGCTTCAATTTAAAAGGGGAAGAGCTGTTGAGAACCTTTTATGTTCAGATATGCAGACTAAGAAAGTAAAATCAACATTCAGAACATCTAAATTAATTCCAGTTATAGTTGGAAAGGAAGAATAACAGTACTGTGTTAGATAGCTCTACTTTAGAGACATGAGAAAGAGTCATGGCTAAGAGAGCAGATAAAACAATACTGGTGCCATGTTCTTCAAAATCTTGATAGCCATCCTTATTGACCTGCTTTGAATATTTTTTGATCTGCAGTTTGTATCATTGCATCATCTAATTTCCTGTAAAATCATGTTTCATCAGGATCTTTCTTTGCCTTTCAATTTATAGAAGAGTAAATAAAACCACAAATACTCTAAATCTATGCCCAAGCAGCCACCAGATCTACCCCTGAATGCCCTAGGTTAACAAGCCTAAATGAGGCCAGCACATGACCTGACCCATCAATTCCAAATCCTGAGAAACTATACAGAGGCTTTAAGGTGTTGGGTTTGAGGGGCCTCACATAACACCGAAAGTTTCCTTGGCAAATTTACAGAGAATCTAAGATCAGTTCCTATTTATATCCATAGTCTGTGATGAATCTAGAATGTAAATGACAGCATGGGAACAAAATTCAGGACGACCATGTGCATCTTATGATCATGGGCAGGTTATCTATGCTTCCAGTTTCAAAAAGTGTCCGGATAAATAACAGGAATAGGCTTGTGCAGTCAACAGTCCAACATGTAGCCCGGGATGAGAGCATCTTTGTAGTTTTCTGCCAGATGGAAACCTTATTGAAGTTGTTCTTCATTTTAGAACTCAGTGTTACAGTTACATTACAGCTTAGGAAATTTCCTCAGGACAGTGTCCCAACATAGTATGAGCCAGAGGAGACAATAACAGAATTTGAGGGCACTAAGAGTAAATTCACCCCAGTACAGGAGGGTGGACACAGTACCACACAGGCAGACTTCCTTTATTTTCCCATGAGGACCATATGCTACTTAACTGCCTACTGAGCCAGGTTGATTTTTGAACAATCCCATATATTAATCAAATTCTAATTCACTTTTCATTAGTTGCTTCTGTCCATGCATTTTAAACTTAACTTATTGTTTCTTCCTGATAATTTTTGTCTTTTTAACAATACTTTATTATTTGAAATTCTACAATAATTACATCAGTTCCCCTTCCCTTTCCTCCCTTCAGCCCTTATGAACCTCCTTAATCTCTCTCTCTCTCAAATTTATAGCCTTTTCCTTTATTATATAGTTTACATATTCTTTTAATATATGAATATAACCCATTCAGTTGATATAATTATGCTTGTATGTATATAATATACCAAGGGCTTAGAATTTGGTATTAGACAGACAATTGACAGGATCTCCCAAGAAAGACTGTTTCTCTCACTCACAACATTCCTTGACAGAGGCAACAATTTTCTAACTGGACTTAAGACCTGCTCAATATGAGGGAGATCATGCCTGGTAGTATACACCCAG